TGTGCTCCAGATAACACCTTACCCAGTGTCTGATGCAAATTTCGCAAGCTTGCTGGCAGCATGTGAAGAGGAGAGGGCTGGCTGTTGCCCCTGGCAGATGTTCCCTCTCCATCTCAGCGGCTGCAGGGTGGGAACAGCCCAGAGGGGGAATTGCTGGGACTGGACTCCTTGACAGACACTGCTGGGGAAGCCACCCCTGCTGGTGACATCCCTTGGGACACGACGAGGGAATGCCACTACCCAGCAGGATCAGGAGCAGAGCCCCCTGTCCTGGTGGGATGTCCCACACCATCTGTGAGGAGTGTGACAATATCCTAACAGATCCTGCCCCCATTGACCTCACAGTTAAATCATCAGGCTGCTTTATCTTGGGAAACAGACCAGCAGCATCTTATATCTAACACCTAGCCCCTCCTTTGTGCTGCCATTAGTGCTCATCCAACCACCCGTGTGATGAGTGGATTCACGAGTGCCCGCCAGCCTCCTTACTTCAAGGCAGCCACCAGGAGCAGCAGATGCATGCACAGGGCAGCCTCCTGACACCTCTAATCTGGGGTGGCTCTGCTCACACACCCACAGGCCTCTATTTCAGTTAGGGGTCAGTAAAATGTAGTTAACCTTCTCCTTATGTGTGGATCTCCTATTCAGATGGTCAGTCCTATGAGGTGCTATAGCTCACTTCAGCATAAATGTCTTGCATGGTGTTGGCCTCAGTCTTGGGCGGTCCCTCTGGGTGTCACTGCAGCACTCCACAGGGGAGTCAGAACAGCTCCCCAGAAAGAAGTAGACTGCACAAAGCCACCTAACAAAATAGATTAAAAAAAATAATAATTTTAATCGAATTGTCTATCTGTAGAATGTAAGAAGTCATATGTTTTCTTAAGCAGTTATACCCTAAATCCTTCTTTAAACTGCAGATTTAATAAAGGGATAAGATCGTTGTCTTCTACTGGAAGATCTCAAAGCATTTTTCCCAGAGCAACATACTCATTTCCAGACATTAGCTGGGGCACACAGTTGTTTGTATAAGCTTCCCCTGATTGCAGCTGGCATAGTCCTAGAAAGACACACGGCCTTCAGCCTCTGGTCCACCAGCACCGCACTGGCTGACACTTCTGAAGCAGTGGTGTGAAACCACGAAGCAATGGTTTCACACAATAATCTTGCTTTAATAATAGAGAACTTGTGCCTGGCCTGAAACCACACTTTCTCCCAAGTAAATTCCTTGGAAGAGCAGATTCTTTGGAAAAAAAAAATAATAATAAAATAAAATAAAATAAAATAAAATAAAATAAAATAAAATAAAATAAAAATAAAAAATCTACACAGTAAATCTGAGCAAAATCTCCAGATACTACTTGTGCAGCATGTCACAGAAGGACAGATGTTTCATGGGAAAGGTGAAGTACTGCCAGTGTGACAGAGCAATAGCTGTAGCACTTTCCTCCAAAGCTACATTTAAAACTTATAATCCTACAACTTATATCAAACTCGTTGTCTTACTTCAAGCAGATTGTTCCAATTCACTATTTTCCAGAATGTCCACAATCCCAGACTTGGAATATTTCACAGCACTGGGCACAAAGCTTCATAACCAAGCTGTTTTTCCACTTTGCTCTGAATGCACAGAGTGGGCACGTGTGTCAGCAATCCAGCTGTGTGCCTGCCATTCCCCTGCTCTGTTCATACATGGCTCTGCTGCCTTTACTTCCCCAAGCAGCTCTGCTGGCAGAAGATAGAGCCCAAACCAGAGCTGACCTTCATCTTGTACGTTTGGCAGTGAATCTTCAAATCCTCAGCAAAGGTTCTTCTTTTTCACACATCAAAAATCTGCTGCTTCTTGTAAGAAACAGAACATTTCTTTGAATGCTGTAGTCATGGCACAGTAGTGCCCCTGTTTCCCAAAGCTCACTTCCCAATGTCACTTACACCTGTGACTCTTCATGCTTTGAGGAGCTCTGCTTGGTGGCTGTGGCAAAGCGACCCCCCAGGCAGAATGAGATGGCAGGAGTGGACTCAGGAGGCAAGCTCTGCCCTGCGGGTTTCTGATTTCAAGAAGCTGGCTTAATCTGTGCTAGGATGTTTTTTGTTTTTTGTTTTTTTTTTATCAGGGGAGCTCTTGCTCCCAAGTCTGCCATTTTCTTTGTATGTCATGTACCAAACACCTTCCTAGTTCACACCCTTCATTACACTTACATTTTCCTACGTTTCTCAGTAATTTCCTTCATAAAAGATTGGACAAGTGCATTTCGCACAGGTATTCCTACAGTGCTAAGATTTTGAACTGCATGATTTACAATATGATATTGAACAAACTCCTAGCGAATAAACATGGTTTTCATCACCTGCATAGCCGCGTGATTTTGTTAAACTCCCTGAACACAAGGGTCCTCTGTGAAATCTATGTCGTAATATTTTGGAGGGCTTTTCCTTTTTGCTTCATTCAAAATATACATGAAACTTCCTGGAGATCGCTTTTCTTGGGCACAATTAGGGAAGGCTGCCTTTATCCCTCTCACACAGCCCTGGTAGCGGCGCTGCCCCTCAAAGCCAGCGGCAGCAGCGGCTCCGCAGGGCGTAAGGCTGGGGAACTACCGAGGGGCTCGGGGCCGGGGCTGGGGGCTTGGGTTTGGGGGCTCGGGGCCGGGGCTGGGGGTTTGGGGCTAGGGCTGGGGCCCGGGGTGCCGTGGCCCCGCCGCCCGCTGCTGCCCCCTGCCGCTGCCTGCCCGTGGGTGCTCCCACGCCGCCGGCCGGGCAAATTTGGGCGATTTTCCAGCAGCTCGGACACAAGTGAGGTGTGGGGGGGGATGCTTGTGATGCGAAGCTGTGCCAAGTGTCTCAACCGGGCACCAAAGCACGCAGCCGGCGCTTCCCTAGGTTAGAGAAGTATTCCCAGTGTACACCCCCGGGTCAGGAGCTGTGGGTGAAAATGATATTTCTCTGGCCGTTTCACAATGATTTCTGGTAACTTTAGGCTAACAATCCTTCTCATTACTTTAGCTTAACAGCCACCTATAGAGAAAGAGAGCAGTGGTCACTTGCTGTACTATTAGTATGTTTTAAATGAACTGAAAATACATTCAGAAATTCCAGCAAGTGACTGTGCTCCAAAATAAATTGACTACAAAATAAACAAACAAACAACAACAACAACAACAAAAATATATATATATATAAAGTTCTGCTCCACTCTAAAATAAATAGCACTACATGGGTTATTACACCAGCACCCCCAGGCTCTTCAATGTAGGAAAATAAATAATGTATGAGTTTATTTATTAACTGAACATAAATATGACTTTAGCAGTAATGACGTTATAGACATCAGCAAAATAATACATGAGTAATGTAACAAGTGAATTAGAGAAATACTACAGAGAGAAATCCTGAAAGAGCGGGCAGTTTCAGAGCCTCTCCTCCAGGTTACTTGAGCTGCACTAGCTCTTAGTAGGGAAAGGTTGCTGGTGGGACACAGAACACTATGGGCTCTGCTGCTACACACTAGCCAGGGGGAAAAGAACTATGAAATAATGGAGCCCATTGCTAGATTTATTTCTTGCGCCAAAATTAAATATATATATATAGTGCCAGTGTGTATGTGCATGTGCAAAAATAACTGAATATCCAAAATAAGCCATTTAAAAAGGTCCAGTAATGCCTCCCAGCCTCTCTGCAGAGGTCTCAGTGAGGTCAGCAGTGATTCTGCCTGGAAAAAATATAAAATGTGTTACTGTTTTCAAATGGAAAAGTGCAACAATAAGGGGAAAATCTCAAGACTGAGAGCACTTCAGCAAGTTTCATTGATAAAAGGTGATGTCTACTGCACATGGCTCTGCTGGCCAAGCCTGTCACAGCTCTGCACTCTGGCCATGTGGCAGTGTACTAGTATGGGTTGCTGTCCCTGCACCCAGAAGTGAGCTCCCAAACTGGTTATTTTGCAGCTGGTTTTCTCAAGACAGGAATAATTCAACTTCTGAGTACTTCTTCCTTCTGGGAAAACAGATGATAGTATTTAGCCATACAAAGGTTGAAACGAAAATTTCAAAAACTTTGTTAAGTTACCCAGTTAAAAGATATATTGTGATAATGTTTTCTAATAGGATGATTTTATTCCTTTATGAGAGTAAACGTACAGATGCTATTGCTAAGGGAAACTTGACTCTTGCTTTTTTTTTTTTTTTCCTTTTTTTTCTTTTTCCAAAGCTTGGACAAAATGGAAAAAATGCAGAGGTTACATATGTTAGATCTGAGTATAAAACATATCCTCAGATAATGATGTTTGTAAGTGAAGTTCACTCTAAAAAAACTGGATGCTGTATAAAGGAAGCTAAATCCCTGTGAAGAACAACCTCCTCCTTGTCACTTGTGTCTCTTCTGGCACCTGTAACATAAAATTGCAGTAACAGTGACATGATCCTCACTGCCCATCCACACCATAATGGGATGGCACAGCACAAAGTTCAAGTCTTTCTCAGTGAAGCCATTAACCCCCTTCATAGATACAAAATTAAAAAAAAAAATCTTAATTGCAATATTGTTATCTTTTGATCTTTCCATGGACTGCAGTTTGATTTGCACACTGCTTTGGGCTTGTACACTGCTTTGGGTCTCCTTTGGGTACTCCTCTATGATAACCTGGGTCTTATTCTAGCTATATTCACTCCTATCCTTATTCTTTTTTAATACTTTTCTGCCTGCACCTTCTCCTTAGCTTCCTTTTACAGATCTGCCTGGACAGTGATCGCCAGTTATCTTCCATGCACACGAGTATGAGCACAGTTAGCTGCTAATTTCCACCTACTGCATTTTCATCTTGTCAGTTGATTTTCTCTTATGAACCTAGCAATTTTTTTTCAGCCTGGGTTGATGGAGCTGACACACTTTAGCCCAACCCTTCTCTATAGAGAAATATGGTTCACAGTGCATACTTTGCTGCATCTGCCAACATTTATGTCTCTATGGAGAAAGAGTTTCTTCTGTCTAAGAGTTGTTTATTTTTACATTAGATGACTGGGAAGGAATTGTACTCACTATAGAAACAGCTTTATGCATCCTGTACTTGTTATGTCTTCATATCTAACACACTTCTGAGCACAGTATAAATTATTATTAATAATGAAAGACATAGGAGTGAATGGCCGGGATGCTTGCATCACTTGGCCTCAGTGTCTGGAAGCTGCAGCCTTCCAAAGGCACCTGCAGCCTCTCTCAGCTCAGTGCCCCTGCCTTCGCCCCTTGGCTGGAGGAGACACCATGGGGAATCTTTGCTTATCCGCCTCTCATCTCATGCCATTTAAGCTCCATATTCCCTTCCTACAGCTAAAGCTCAGACCTCTTTCTGAGAAACCATGATAAAATTTGTACCCTCTAGGTACCCTGACAAGTAGGCAGTTTCTCAGCATTGTTATAAATGTGTCAAGGTGGACCATAAAAGTGGGCTTTCTACCCAACTTTTACTTATGCACTTGATGGCATTTTCATGTAAATCTTAGCTTTTGGTCAGCCTCATTAGTACCTGTGTCCTGTGAGGCACAGCCATGCACAGCATACAGGAAAATGTCCCTACCTGATGCCAATTTTGTTGCAGAAGAGGAGAGTTTCTGTATCCTCTGACACTTGCAGATATGAACAAATTTTTTGTACAAGTTCTAGCAACACGTTTTTTCAATATCTTGTTTTGAACTGCAGCTTCTACACATCTCTTTGTTTCCAATACTATGTTGGTCAGTACTCTGACCTGTTTGTATCCGAAAGAAGTGCTGGCAGTGCCAATTCTGTGAGGTTGTGGCAAAATACCGAAGTTTTTCCCAACATCTTCTCTGGCAGCTGGGCATTTCAATGCTGCAGTGAGGAAAATAACACCTCATACTGTAGTATTTGCCCTGGAAGTGGACGAAATAAAAAAATAGCTGTGACTGTGATTAACTTCTTTTGCTCTGGAGGATTCTGCCGCTTCAAGGAGGCCCGGAGCAGGCCTGGTGCTGCTGCCGCAGGCCTGGAGGGGCTGGAGCCCCACCTTGGCACAGCCACCCTGAGGGCACCCACTGATCACAGGGGATGTGTGACCACCTCATGTCCATTTCAGCTGGTGTGGAGAGCGCACACATACCCAGAAACACCTCCTGAGAAAGGCCAGTAAAGGCAACATGAAAATCCAAAGAAATACTGAGGGGCCTGTTGCTGGACTAAACCTTACGACCAGCTGCTCTTGTGCAAAGTGGCTGCTGTACACAGCACTTCTGCAAGTGGAGCAGTACATTTCTTCTTCTCTTCCTGCTTTCCAAACTTTATGTTGTTCAGGGAACACTTCTTTCCTGTGAGGATGACTGAGCCCTGACCCAGGCTGCCCACAGAGGCTGTGGAGTCTCCTCGCAGGTCTCCCAAAGTCACCTGGACATGGGCCTGGGCCCCCTGCTCGGGGTGGCCCTGCTGGTGCAAGGGGGAGCAGACAGGCCCGGGGGGCCTCAGCCCCGCTGTGATGCTGTGATCCAGTGATACCACATCGTGTGTGTCCACTTCATCCCTGAACTTCCCAGGGAGGAATTTGAGGGAAGTTGCTCTTCAGGCTGGTGGGGGTCATCTGGAGAGCAATTCCCTGCCTCAGTCCATAATGGTTAGTACAAGAGCAATGCTTCTAAAATCACAGGTCTTCTGAAATCACTTTCACCTCCTGTGAAACAGCAAGCTGCATGTTAGAAAAAAATAACAATAATCATGTGAAATCTGGGCTGAAATTCTCACAAATTGATGAGATTGCAGCTTTGGAAAAAAAAAAAAAAAAAACGCAAAATATTGCGAAATGCCTGGTGCGGTAATTACAAATTGGCAGCACCGTAGGACTTGTACACCTGAAATGCCTGTCTCATCAGCCAGCCTGCTTCAAGTACAAATGGTTGTTTGTTCTCAACATTAAGATCGGAAGATAAAGGGAGCTGGCAGAGCCCAGGAATGCGGGCTGTTAAGCAGACATCCCCCACCCATCTCAGCTCACACTTTTTGGGCAAACAGCTGCCCTCCCCCCTGGCTAGCTTCCCCAGCAGGGATACACCAAAAGTCACCTTTTAATTACAAGAGCTCCAGACTGAGAGCTTTTATTTACTGCTTTAAGTTTGCAAATCTCAACATGCACTATTTTTAGCGTCTGCAAAGATGGACCACGATTGACTTGGGACGGTGGCACACAGAGCAGCATATGCACTGGTTGGTAGCATTCACTCATTTCACATAAAACAACATTTGGCGGGCTAGGACCCTCACATACAAAGGGGGCTTGCATACAATAACTAGTACCAGGCTACTTGCAAGCTAACTTTTTTTAATTGTCAGTGATTCTTGTTACAGCAAGACTGCAAATGTTTGTTTAAACACAATCTTCTGTCCTTTCCAGTGCCTACTGAGCACTCAGATGTGTTTAAATCCCTGTTGGTGACTCCTGAAGTATGAATGTGCTAAGATACAGAGCATTTGTCGTTGTACACACTGTTTATATTGGTGCCATTGCCTGTGGCCGAAACAATCAAACTTTCTTCTCTCCAGGGGCCAGAAGAGAGATGGCCCTTTCAAAGCCTGACTCTAACATCAAAACTGGCTTTGCAAACTCGAGATGAATTCATCAGCTTTGAGGAGGTTCCCCTTCCTGCATCACTGCGTTCACCTTTGAAAAACCTTGTGCTGAGGTAGAGCTTTTCTTTATCTTTTGGCAGGATTTCTAGAAAGCAGGCATCCATGGCAGCTGCTGCTTGATGGTTGGTAGCTCCCTGCTAGTGCCAGCTTGGAGGGAAGGATAGAGCTGGTCCTCTCATACAGCCATCAAGTGAAGGAGAGCAGAACCTCAGGCCAGCAGTGGAGACCAAGCTGTGTCTGTGTGGTTGTATCCTACGTGCCAGGTGCTTTGTGGGAACAGGGTATGCAGAAACCATCCATTGTCACACTGTGATGCTGTTACACGCTGTTAATCAAAAGCAGGTTTAATACAACAGAGTCATTGTCATGTTTCAATGAAAGCCACTTCCTAATGGTCACAGCATCAGAAAATATCTTTACAGCAGAGATGTTGTGTTTCAGTGAGGTATTTACATTGCAGACCAAAATGGACAGCAGACACTTGGGTCTGTCCCATGGCCTCCTACCATAGCAAGCTCTTGTCAGCTTTTCAGCACTGGGAAGCTGCAAAAACCATCTGGTAAGGGCTGAGAACAGGACTGGTTTGTTACAACAACCTTTTTCTTACTTTAAAGAAGTGTGAGAGGCCTAAACAATGGACAATTCCTCACCAGAAATATTTCTATCCAGTGTGTTTGTAGGTATTACGTCACCCTTGGCTCAGGATCTTAGTGCCTTGCTCCATATATAGTATATCTAGAACAATATTCAAAATCCAAATGGAGCTACTTATAGTTTTAACCCAAGTTTGTTTTTTTTTTTTTCATTGTGCAGCTTTACAACTGGCTTCTATGTCTTTCTGAGAAAATAACAAAATTAAAATATGATCCTGAATGACTAAATGACATTGAAAATGCTCCCAAAAAAGATATTCTTGGGATAACTAGTGGATAAGTTATGCTTTCAGGGAAGAACTAGTTTTCACAGAACTTAATACTGACCTTTCACATAAAAACCCACTCTACTTACCTGTTAGGGGGAAGGGAATATCTTCCAATTACATGTAATTTTTTCAATTATGTCAATTTAAATAACACTTAAACCAATGACTTCCAGCACCTTCAGGTTCAAATAAGTTACAACATCTTATAAACGTATTAAAATTTTTAATTTCACCTGAAAATATCCATTTAGTTCAGATAATATTTATCTAGTTTCATTGTTAAAGCCACTTCACAGGCTGATGATAGACAAATATTATGATAAGTTCCATTTCATGGACAGGGAAACTGAGGCACTAAGGACATAAATGCTGCACTGGGGACTGAAAAGGGTGACCACAGGGCTGGGACCCGAGCTCTGTGGTTTTGTCTTCTTGCCCTGCTGTAAAATGACTCAGCCCTGCGTTCATTCTCTTTAAAGACAGCCTGTTTACTTTGACTGCTCCAGGGACTGTGTGATTAGCCAGGAGAACAAATGTAAAAGGCAGCATGTGTATTTAGGAAAGAAAGAAGATTGAAAAGGTATGCACAATAATGCTGAGTGCTTTGGAAATCACTGCCATTAGGTCAGATTATGTCTGTCATTAAATCCCACCCTAGAGCAGAGCCCAGAGGCCTATGATCAACTCAGATCTGCTCCCAGCTACGGGGAGCACAACCAAGCTTTGCCTATACAGTGATGCTCTGCCAGGTTTGTCCTGTTGAGGGGGTTTAGCAAGCACGCACGGAGATGCTGGCTCTGTGCTCGTAGCAGTCAAACACCTCTGCTCAACCCTCTGCTCAAGTGCTCAACTCTGCTCAATAAATAAACATCTATTGGCCACTGAGATTTGAGATGTGAAACGTGGAATTCAGCCATTTGTGATGTCGATTTATCTTTTGGCAGTTTTGGAAAATTACAGCCACTAAGGGAGAGTAGCGATCTCTCATAAATTTCCTAATTCATTGAAGTCAGCGCCGTGGTGAACTGCTAGACTGGCAAAGGCACAAAGCCAGCTGACATGGGAGAATTACGTCACTGTCGCTCATGTCATCCAGTCATCAGTCCTAAAATACAATATGTTAAATGCCACTAAACCAAAACTGAACCAAGTAATTCACTCACACCCTCTATATCTCATAGGCCTAAGGGTGTTTCTGTACTCTTAGTTTTCAGGAATTTCAAATATCATGCTATTCGGATCAAACAAAGTTCCTAAGAAAATACCTGATGGGAGAAGAGGCTTTTCCTCCCTGCCACCATGATGCCAGCTTGTGCCACCATGATGGTGCAAAGTCCTGCAAAGCCCAGAGCAAAGAGCAGAGGAAGCCCCCAGATGTGGCTCTACAAATGGGGTGACCCACAGCCTGGGCACCAGCAGCACTTTCTTTAAGTGATGCAAATGTTTAAGAAAATCACAATAAGCATCTAGGTCACCTCTGTGAGGGTTCTCCTGATATTTTGCCTCCAAGCTGCCTGGATGGTGTTTGGGGGTGGCCCTCCCCAGGCAGCCCCACATGGGGCAGCGCTGCTGTGCCCAGCTGCATGCCCAGGGCAGGGAGGACAGGTGCAGGGTGGGGGACAAAGGCACAGCACCTATGGGAGGACATGATGCCAGGGCCTGCTGCTGTCCAGGCAGCTGCAGGGACTGCTTTTGCTGGTGATACAGGTTGTCATCTGGTGCTACTAGCGGTATCTTCTGGCCTGCAGCTGGGCACTTAGAGTCACACTTGGATACACATTTGTGGGTAGCTGCAGGGAAGTGAGCACCCCACCTGTAAGCTCCACCCTGGGATGAACGCTTGGTGAAACCAGAGGCTGCTCTCCTGGGAGCTGCCCTGCAAACCACAGAAAGAGGGCTACTTCTGTAGGAGGCAACAGTCACTGCACCTGTCTTTGGGAAAGGGGTTGTGAGCAGACAGATCTACGGACCTGGCTGCAGTTAGGGTCTTGTTTGGACTGTCTTTGGGCAAGTGGGATCCTACTGCAGAGAGAATGAGGAGAGAACCAGAAAGCATTCCTATGTTACATCCTAGTGAGATAACATGATAGTGCTCCATGACCTCCATGATGAGATTTAATGAAAGGTTTCCCCATGATTTGAGTGGAGCTTTCTGGGAAGTAAACGTCAATTTATAATTTGTTTACTGTAAAATAAGTTTCTGAATAATTTTGGGTAGTAATCTAGCATGAAACCTGAACATCAGCTTTCCCATATGGAGCACTACATCATGCGGACCAGGAGAGGAAATCCCTCTCCGTGCAGTGGCAGCCAGCCCTGGTGCTGCAGGGTGCCATGTGGGGCTGTGGTCCTGGGAGGTGGTCTCAGACACAGCAGGTCACCTGCACGGGGACAGGCAGATCATATCCACTTGTCAAAAACGTGTGCTCCCTAGACATGGGCTGGTTGTGATTAAGCTTTTATAAGCTTTTATCCCACCTCAGGATTCTCTTGATAAAAAAAAAAAAAAAAAAAAAAAAAAACAGGGAAGGCACACATCTTCCCAGGACCATCCACCAGTTGGGACTGGGCACAGTGGTGGTGCCTGCCCACACCTGTGCCTGGAGCAAGGGCTTTGCGTGACAGGCAGATGGCTCTCAATAGCAGAACAGAAATGTACACATGCATTATCTGCACAAATCAATTCACCAAGATATCATTATTTTCATCTGCCCTAAAACTTCCTAGTGGAAAGATAGACCCCTCCCTAGTGAATGTGAGCCTTCTGGCACTGTGCTTGCCTTCAGCTACCTTCAGGGACTCAGAAGTCGTATATAGCTCCATAGGGACTGAAGCCACCCTTCTCCAGGAAGTCAGAATGAATTCCCCCATCTCACAAGGAAACATTTTTCAGCAGAACTCTTGCTGGCAGACACAAAATATGAGGAAGGACTTTTTGCAGACCCATTTCCTACATGCCCATACAATGTTTGTTTGACAGACACAGAACATTGTTAGTATAAGGAGCACGCTGGTAATATGGCAAACTGCAAACTGGTATAGGAATTCATCCGATACTGAAGGCTGAGACACCTTCTCCCAGTTTTAGGGATTAGTCTGTATAGCAAGTCTCACATGTCCCTTTCAGAGGTGCTAGATGAGGTGGCCATGGGGATGCTTTGCTGCTAATCTGGGAATTCATCTGATGCCCAAGAGCTGGATAGCAGTGGCAGAACTCAGCCCATTTAGTTCCAATTTTTTTAGAAGTCAGTTCTCCAGAGTCAAGGGGTTACTGCCCTCTTTAGGGACAGAAACAATAAAAGGAGTTTATCTGCTCTGAGGCAAGAAAATGTTCCAGCAATATTAATTAGTGAAATAGCTGTCATAAAAGTGATATTTCCTGAACCTCCTGGAAGGAGTCTTGCTTTAATCACAGAAGGTAGATCCCAGTTAAAGGTCTCACCACTGACTAGTCTTGTTTCCAGTGGCTGAAAAACTCAGCATGAAAACTAATTGCTTCCAAGATTTGCACTAAATACCTGCATGAAATAAAAGTGGCTGCACGGTGCATGAGGAAAGATAATGCAAAGACAAACAGAACTGGCTGGCAGTTAGGACAGACCTGCACTTGGTGTCCTTTGGTAAAGGAGGTCCCAGCAGACACCGACAGCCCAAAGAATTCAGATTTGCAAAATGACAGAAATACCAGACCATGGTGTCCATGAAATTGAGACAATTATGGTAGATATCACTAGTGTTTTTTTTCTGCAGTACATTCATAGTAGCCCTACCACATTAATGCTACCAGTTTGGGAAGTGAGAATCAATTAGTAGATCCAACCAAATTGCATGATTTTTTTTTCATGGGACTAGAAGATATCAGAGATCATCAGTGCCTTGGTAATTCTTAATGTCAAGAAGTTTTTGCACTGAATCTCGAGCGCTGACCACCTGAGCCCTCTGTTCACAGGAGCAGGATCAGCAGTGCTTCACACTTCTCCCTTCAGCATGCGATCACACAGGAAAGGCTGCCAAGGGTGAGGATGGAGCACACCTCCCTGCTTCATGTTGAGATCTATGTGCTGGTGTAGTTTTCAGGTAAAACATTTCCCTTCATAATATAGCTAGAGTTGGAAAAAGGTTTAGGAGGAACAAGTAGCTTGACTTCAGAAAATTGGAAAAGTACCTCCCTGGGAATATGGGCGCGTTAGAGTATTTTGGCTGACTAAGTGAATTTGCATCAGATTTCACTTCTTCAACAAAGCAATTGAAAAGTGTTTTCATTCTTTTTGGCTGTTATTTCTCCAGAATCTGCCTGCCAGGGTAATTGTCTAAGATGGAGAGTGACTGAGATCTGTTTTGCAAACACGAGTATAATGAAGTTTTAATATCTGGCGTGTCCACAGCAATACCCTAGAATCCCCATAAAATAACATACACAGTCAGGAAGAACAACAAACATCTCCTGGGTTGTCACCAAGGAGTCTCTGGCTTCAGTGCCTTGGTGCAGTTAAAAAAAAAAAAAAAAAAGATTTAAAAGATTTGAGATGTCAGATTATAATTATCCATGATGGCAAAACAATGGTCATAATGAGAAAACAATGCTCTTTGGACTTCAACTCAGTGTAACACCCGCCTCTTCCTCTCTCCATTCCTCTGACTGTGTGAATTAAAAATAAAAGATGACCCGGAAGAGCAGGCGTGGTGCCCATTGCAGAGGGTGTGTTCCCAGCTGTGCCACACCAGTACCATGGTCCTGCTCCAGGAGCCTGTCTGGAGGCCCCTGTGCCACAGCAAAGTGCATTTTGGGCCCACACCAGCTCGCAGGCAGAAGGATATTGGATTATTTTTTGCTTTGACAACAGGAAGTCTGAGGCAAGGCATTTCCTATTCTTGTTCCAGCATTATATGAATGGCCTTTAAAAAGTGTTTCGGAGAAGTAAACACAAAGGAATTTCATACAAAGGAATGGTTTTTAACAATGCCCCTGTTTTTTCCATGTTCAGCTGTGTGGCTGGGCTGACTTGTCTCAGCCGGCTCCCTTGAAAGTTAGTGCAGTTCTGTGCACATCGTGCAGTTGTGAACGTGTTCCTCTGTAGCCCTCCTTTTGATCATACAGTCATTAAGGCTGGAAAAAACCTCCAAGACCATCTGGTCCGACTGTCCCCCTGCCACCAATATCACCCACTAAACCATGTCCCAAAGAACCATGTCCAACCTTTCTTTAAACACCCCCAGGGTGTTTAAACACCACCTCCTTGGGCAACCTGCTCCTGGCTGCCTCTAGATCTGTGATCTCCTCGTCTCCTGGTGAGAAAGCAGGAGGGAAGAAGGATGGAACATGTGCTTTACCCTATCTGTGAATGGATAGCCATGTAGCAGTCCCATATGTTTACAGGTATCTGAACCTATTTGGGGTAAGCTTTTTGCTTCTGTGAGGTATTTTTTGTTTGTTCATTCATAAATAAATGGTCTGAGCAGACAGAAAATTGTTTTTAATAAGGATTTTCCACTGGTTTTAAAGGACTGGATGAGGTCTCAAAACCATAGATCACAGAAAGAGACATAGGAAAAATGTGTATTAGCAAACAGTTTAATGGTAAAGCCAAGCAATTTCAAAAAGAGAAACAAGGAGCCAATTGTTAACAGTAGGGGGACATCAGCTCAAAATTTAACGCCTTTTCAGATGCAAAAAAATATATATATTTGGTCTAATAAATGATTTAATGCTCCTGTCTAGCCTTCAGTAATATGTGGAACAAGGCAACCTCTCATCAAGTAAGGACTGTTTCTTACCTTTAAATGTTTTATATGGTCATAGTCTAAATCTATTAGGTAGTAAGTGTTCATTCCAATATGAAAACCCATATATCCCAACAAAAGAAAAACTGTAAAACGTTTTACTTTTTCTCTCAAAGTTCCAGTAGACCTGTTCTGATTATGTTTTCCTCTACAAATCTGCTTTGTCTTTGGAGTTATAGACTCTGAATATCTGTATATTGTCTATCAATCAGTGCTTAGTTGATTTATAAATACTCCCTTTAAACTCCTGTAAGTCTCCCAGCCTTTGTGCAGCTCTGTAAACTTTGATAGAGGATATTTGGGAAAGAACATTTAAATGATTCAAACATTGCCTGAGTTTTTCATAGGTCCTCCGCAGAGAAATTATATTCATCTGAAAAATCGCCTTAATTTGCATCACATGGGAAATGGGGGAAAAAAAAAAAAGTGAAATGCCCTCCTCATGGTCATGCAACAGTTTGGTGAAAGAATAGCTTCTTGACCCTAGTCCCAGGCCTGACCTTAAACCATATGCCAGGTGGATGTATATCTCTTCAGGATTGCCATACTGATCTCATCTCTGGCATTGCACTCACTGCTTTTTTATCTATAATTATGTACTGACATAATTATCCTTCATTACATAGAGTGCATGCTGTGCACACACGGACAGGAAAATGAACTGTGCTGTGCTGCTGGGGTGTGCTTTATTCTGACCAGAGGTAAAATTTAGCCACCATCATCAGTGTGAAACATCGCAACACAGGCCAGTCGCACTGAGTGCAACATAGAACAGTTAAGGGACGGGGTTTTCTTTTTTGGGATAGAACTGTCCTGATGTTGTGGTTTGCAGTTCATCCATAAAGCTGCAGTGCCTTTTTGTGTCTTCTCACTTCCCTTCTACCATTTTCTGCAATATTCAAGCATCTTCTGAAATAGGAGTGATAAAATTGCTATCACTAAGGCTTTCTGCTTGGTTCAAGCTGCTTTCCCTTGTCATCTACCTGTATTTACTTCTCCTTTGTGAGGATATCAATAGACAAAATATAAAATCTTAGGCAATCAAAGTATAGTAAATTAATTCTTAAGTCATCAGATGAAAGTCAGTTCTTTACCTTGTGAGGAAGAGGTAAATGAGGATAAGGATTCCTGGCCTGAAGACCACCACACTCTGCTTCATCCATGACAAAGGAGAGGAGAGGGAGAGGAGAGGGAGAGGAGAGGGAGAGGAGAGGGAGAGGAGAGGAGAGGAGAGGAGAGGAAAGGAGAGGAGAGGAGAGGAGAGGAGAGGAGAGGAGAGGAGAGGAGAGGAGAGGAGAGGAGAGGAGAGGAGAGGAGAGGAGAGGAGAGGAGAGGAGAGGAGAGGAGAGGAGAGGAGAGGAGAGGAGAGGAGAGGAGAGGAGAGGAGAGGAGAGGAGAGGAGAGGAGAGGAGAGGAGAGGAGAGGAGAGGAGAGGAGAGGAGGAGACTGAGACTGATATCACATAAGCTGTTTAGCCGCACATCTGCCATTAAGGGTACTGGTGCCAGCAGTGCTGCTCAGAGGGCTCACTGCCATAGCCAGCACTATCGCACCTTTATGGTGTGGCAGTTGGTGGTGGCAGCATGCCAGGATCCCTGGTTTATGCTTAATGCCCAGCACACAGCACTGTTATCTATTATCGCCAGTGCTTCCAACTGTATCTTTCCTGATAGACCACGTGCAACTAGTTTTATTTTCTGCAAATGAGGAGCGGGGCCTTACCTTTGATCTGAGGAGTCACCATGTATTGGTCTGACAGAGAAGTCAGGTATGCATGGTGGTTTATGAGTGCCCTGGGTGCGCTTGGCTCCCAAGATCACAAGCTGTGCCTCCCGCTCACAAACAATTCCGGTGTCTGATGCCAGTGGCCTTCCGTCGGCATATAGGCCCTTCAGATAACCAAGCCATTTGATGGCAGGAGTTTATCTGTCTGAATCTGTTACAGGTCAGTGCTATAAATACTAACCTTTTTAGTATCTTGGTTCCTCCTTAACGTTTTTGCCTTTCATCTTCCCTATTGGAGTCAACCTGGAAAAGATAGGGATGGTTTCTGGTAGAGTATAAATCTCCTTTGTAACAGCCAAGGATGTGAACCTCTATGTTTGGTACTGCCCAGGAAAGGAACTTCTCTGTTGTCAAGAGTTGCCTTTCCCAGTTAAATCAGCTTTCCATCCTGCCGCCAAGGGAGTGAGTGTCACATTCCTTTGTATTTTTTTGGATGAACTATTAGACCATACTGCTCTGAAAACTTACCAAAAAAAGGAAGCGGGGATGTGTTTTCTTTTCTTGTATTGTTCTAAGCAAGTTGATATGTACCACAAATAAAAATGTTATTTGTTTTATGCATAACAGCAAAAGAGGTTGGGAGGCTGAAGCTCTCCAGAAAATCCCACAGGAATTTGAGTCCAGTGCTGTGTTCTGGCCCAAATGCAGTGTTGCTGGTAGGAAATAAAGATCTCCATTGTCTCCTAGCTGTTGATGTTTGACTGAAATCTAATCTGAGTCCTCCACTTCTATTCCCGGTAGTCACCTCTGGAGCATGTCTCAGCTTCCAGGGAGCACACAGTCAGGAGGAACTCACCTGCAGAAGGTTTCATTCTTAAAAATGCACACACTAGATCAGAACTGTTTACTCGTTCATATTCACTTTGAATAACACCTCACTCCCATGACTACTTGTACTTTCTGCAAGGATGGCAGATAGCAGCCCACCACCTGGTTTGTAACCTGTGTAACCTCTGGAAGCTGAGGAGTGCAATCACTTCACCATTGCACAGCATGTATGCACCAGGAATGAGATGCCTTATGACTGATTTGTATTGTGTGATAGTGCTGTATTTTATGTGCTATATCAGTTTTTGGCAGCATCACAAAAGTTCTACTCAAACTTTTTTTTTTTTTTTTTTTTTTTTTTTTTTTTTTGTGGGAGGCAGAATAGGAGGTGAATGGAAAGACTACTTTCCCCAGTTTTGGTCAAAGGAATGAAAAATACCTACCATAAAAGAAGTGGAACTGCCAGTTCACAGAAATATGATGCAGTTTGCCTATGGCTCTGCCTTGCACTGAATTCAGAAACCCTAAAAACTCACAACTTTTGTATTTTAGAATTGAGACAATCTGTGTAATATTTATGTCCTTCTTTAACAGATCACAAGAGTGAGTCATGATGCTTATGTCACATTGTTGTCCCTGGCAGCATGATTTAAGGCTTTGTACACCATCATATTCAGAATAGGATGGGAGATTCAGAGTAGGGGCTGGCACTGGAAGACCACATCCATGTGTGGCTGCTGGGTAGACATGGTGCACACTTAAAGAAGAAATCCTGCTGTATCAGAGCCTGAAATTCTGGCTTATGCTCTTTATTAAAATAAGGAATATTATTTAAAAAATCAGGAGTTTTGGCAAAGTTTCTTAAAAAGAAAATTCTGGGCAGAAAATAGACAGCTTCAATTCGTTGAGTAAACGTTTCTTTAAAGCTTTTCACCTCACTTGTAACAAGATTGGTAGCAAATTTTACCTGAAAGACTATTTTCATTTGATACTTTATGCTATTCGACCATATCAATGTATTACTAGCAATTATAACCAGCAGAAAGAACTCAAATAAAGCCTGGAAACTGTGCATTGCTCTGGCCTTGAGTACTCCTCAGACACAGCTCCACATCCATCTCTGTCAACTCAGCTTAAATTGAACTTTTGTTCCTATTCCTGCCTGCTCTTGAGGTAATATCCAGTGACATTACTGTAACTTTATTTGGGGACACTTCATGTCAGTCAGAGATCAGGATGCTTACACTTCCAAAACATTATGAGAAAAAATACTAGTCTATCTTTTTAAGAGAGGGGATGCAGACTATGCCATTTTATTCATAATGAAGGAATTAAAATTACTTATCTGATACTTCTGAATCTGGGAGAACTGAAAAAATATTTTGCATTGGTCCTTGTGTTACTTTGCTCAATGACAATTATTTTATTACTTTTCACACTAACAGAAATTTTTATATCATTTTGTACACTAATACTGATACTTCTGCTTTATCACTGGCGACCTCTTATCTTTCATAAAGCTGCACTCCAAATATCCATTTCTCCACTAAAAGCCTTCCAACACCTATCAATGTTATTACTGTAAAACGACTGTCCTAATATTTAAGCATTGTATTATAATTGCCTGTAATAGTTGTAGAACTGTAGAAGTGTAAACTTCTTAGGACACAAACTACTATACATGTTTAGAGAGCAACATGGCTAAAACAAAGCAAGAGGAGATGAATGTTGAGCTTGTCGCTGTAGACCATTCCCATCACCTCCTGTGAGCACTTTAACCCTTATTTACTGCTGAGGTTTGCATCTTATCTTTTCACTAGAGCCTGATTGAACCTTATAGTCTCTTCATAAAGCATAGCAGTACATTTTTATCTTCCCCCCAAAAGATGTCTTACACTTTGGGATTTGGGATTAGAGGCAGAAGGTGAACAAGCTGTTGTCTAAGGGCCTCACATTTTGACGCTATGCCAGAAGTAATGGAGGTTTAAACCAAAATGAAAAGCAAACAACCTTAAGCAAACCAAGGTGATGATGCTAGGGAGAAATTAATGTTTAGGGAACTGCTAAACATCTCTGAGACACTGTCAATCTACAGGTTTTGCTTTCCTTTGACTTATGACACTGGGGTTTGTTGCTCTTGGTGTCAGGATGACACAGACTCTCCCAGGCATCTGGTAACTAGGGAGAATGCTCCTCTTACATCCTTGACCTTGCATGCACTGCCTACCTTACATATATGGTCTTACAAGCTGTGATACAGTCCTTCCTGAATATCTGCAATGTGTCTCAAGGTAGAAATAACAGCCAAATGTTGCACACAAACTTTGGCTATATCTACACACATTGCTTAGAAGTTTGTCACAGTTAGCATGTTAGGGGTTTGTCACAGCAATGCTCTGGGCTTCACACTGGGCTCTAATTCTGGATCAATTACAAATTCCTTTTGCCTGGGCAGTGCATCTCAAAGTTTGCCTTTATATCCATCACTTTACTTGTGATCAACTCTGCCTTTGGAGTGTGGTGCAGTTAATGATGGAGACCACCTGGGGAAACCCACACCAATTGCCTCACATGGGGGACCCTATCTTGGGATACTGCAACTGCACATCAGGACAAGGTTGTATCTTCAAAGCCAAGTTGAAATGTTCAAAATCTGGCATAAGAATCCTTTGGTGTAAGCTCCCCCTCACTGCTCTGTCTGGCCTCTGCAAGCCAATCCCGATAAGTAGCCTAGACTTACTCCTGATAGGAAATATTCACCAACAACCCTCACTTCAATATGCATCTTTAAAAACAAGCACAAATTTAATGCTGGTAGTAGAATACATGCTGTTGTTTTTTGTTGTTGTTGTTCTTGTTCTTGTTTTGTTTTTTCCCAAGTTCTCAAGCTTGGCATGCACCTGCCTTTCACATTTGCTCTGTCATACCAAAGTTTCTATGTGCTTTTCTCAGACAGAGGGTTATATGCTAAGAAATATGCCCTCACAATCCTTAATTATCCAAATTCTAACCATAGAGCTGAGTGGTTGTTTCATGAGCAATCATTTATGTTTGTCCATGAGCAGAAGCACTCATGCATGGAATCTGGCTGTTTAAAAGGTTCTCATCTTCACTCTGGCAAGAGTTCAAGTAACTAAGTTTACAGTTAATATAAAATTTCTTTTTATCTTTTATTTGTTTCTTGATTCTGTCTTTTCAACCCATTAAAAAAATGACAGAATCACCTCAGAGAATAACTTCCACTCTGTTTTGTTGTCCCCTATTTCTTTAAGTTGTGGTCACCAAAAGCAGTCCTGTCCTCGTCTGAACTTTGATTCAGCCTCAGGTCTAGAGAGTCCATTTACTGAGGAGCCAGGAAGGGTACATAAACAAAAAGGCACATTCACAAAAGAGGAATTGTATTAGTCTCCATAAAATTCACACTGATACTTTATTTTCAGTGAATATTTGGATATACCCCTTGTAAGAATGACCCAGAGCTTTTCCCAGCTGTGAGGCAATTAAATATTGTATGACTGAAGATGCCAAGATGTCTTAGGATGTAGAGTGCTTGAGTCCTTCTGCTTTAATGGCTCCATCTTCTGGGATGCAATCAGTTGAGCTTTCTAGGTAGGTTATCAGTTTGATGCTCCTAAATTCTCACTGCTACCTAAGCCTGGTAATAACGTCCTGCAAGAAGGCTTCTGAACTGTGGAGCTTATTCTGTGTGAACTTATCAGTACAGCTGCCGCTACTACCAAGTCCTGACTTGCCAGCAAATCACTCTTCTTTAGGGAGTCCTACAGGCTGGAGAGCAGATTTAGTTTCATCATCGTCTCCTATGAGAACAGGGTGACTCTTAGTCCAGGGAAGAAGTAAGTCGTATTAGAGAGGCTAACAAGATTATGACCAGTTCAGTAGGACACTCAGGAGGCCACAGATTTCTCCCATGCTGCAGCAGATAAATGCTCTGCAGCATATTTGAAAGTGCTGAATGTCCCTGACAAAAACAAAGACTTAAATTCTTGTTCCTCGGGTACACACCTGCTGTCACTTTGAATAATGAAAAGAATGTACAATCTCATAATGAGGTCCAGGGAGTCAGCAGAAAGACTATACAAAATGCTTCACATTTTTACTCTTTCCTCATCTCTTCATTCCTTACTTCTCAAAATTCCCGGCGGCCTCAGTGGGAGTCGTATGTGCAGGATGCAGGGCTGGGCGCAAACCATAGTCCCTACCTTAAATCTTCATCAACTGTCCTAGCAGCAGCAATTACATCCTCTCCACTGCCTCTAGAGGGTAGAGCAATCATGAGTCTCTACCAGGGCAGGCAGACTGAATACTGACTGCTATTTCAGTCTCCTAAAAGCTTTAAAATTTCCTTAATAACCCTGCACAAAAACTGCCCGTCAGTGCAGCCAGCCGGCAGACCTGAGACTGGTGACACAGCAGTTTAGCAGCGCTTTGCCAGATTCATCCCACTCCAAACATATTCATAGCAGTCTCATGGAAGTCCCAGGACTGCTTTGGCAGCAATTGTGCGGGATAAATAAAGCTCCCATTGTTGCAGATGGCTCTGCTTTCAATTGCATGGGAATCCAGGACAGCAGAGACTTCTGACTGATAAAGGTTAGCACATTTGTACTACTTTTTGAGTAACACTGGGCTAGAACCAATGCACGAAGCAGCACCTTTTGGAACTTAATTTTGGGCAGCTTTCAGCATTTTTTAAGCAGCTAAGTCTCTTTGATTTTTGCACTGCCATTTGAACAAGTATGAGTTAATATATTCTCAGCCATAGATATGTCTGGATCTCCACATAAATAAGGAGGGAGTCTTTGCCCCCAAAATCTTTGTGAGGTGGAGTTATATCACGGACATATATATATATCATGTTGAGTAGAAGAAACAGTGCTCTTTTTATTCTATGCTTTGATAGAAACTCTTTTTATGTTGAAGATGAAGAGTGGATATTCATTTATAGTAGTCCTGATCATGACCCCTGCAAGTATTCCTGAAAATCCTTTGAATTTCACCAGCTATACATATTCCTTCCATGGCATAAATTAAAAAGACCCCTCTTGTACACTACCTTAACATTACAATATATTTATTTGTCCCTCCAGCAATTTAAAGAACTGAACTTACTGCTCCTGAATATACAGCATGTACAGAATAGAGATACAACCTCTCCAAAGGAAAAAAAAAAAAAAAAAAAAAAAAAAAAAAAAGTCTATTGATTATTTGCCTCCTAAAGCTTTCCAGAAAGTGCATGCAACTTTCCTGAACCAGAGATTTCCCAATAGTAGATACCTAAATAATTAGTGGTGTTACTGAAAATTTACTTCCAGCAATTTGGTCTGCCTATGTGCTGTATGGGTTTTTTTGAGCCTAATCAGATCTCCAAAGGCAGTTTATATAAATCAGCCTCAGGATGGTAATATGATAGCAGCTGAGCTTGTTTATAACACAGACTTCTACGTGGTGCAAAGTCTGAGTTTGATGGTTTATAGCAGGCAATGAAAAGGCATGCCTCTGCCTTGCCCTTTGATTGTTTTGCTGAGTCGAACCATTGAACATTGCAAAAAAAAGTTCACAGCCAATTTTTCTAGAAGTTTAATTCACTATGTTGCAGCCTGTAGAATAAGAAAAAAAAAAAAAGTATATAATAAAGTTTTTCAGAAGTTTAACCTCCCTCATGTGAGCCAGAGTTTGAGTGTAAAAGCACATAGGTGCCTCTCTATGCCAGCACAGTAACAAAATTCACTGTGGCATCCTGAACTGATAGTCCCCAGCTCTTTACATCTGAACGCAGCCATACAACAGCTAATTGACTGTGTGCTTGCAGCCAGCGAGCTCGGCCAACCTGCTTTGAAAGAGGAGGCAAAAAGTGGCATTGGGACTGCGAGAGCAAGTGGCTTTTCCCCCTCCTCTGGATGCCAGACGTCTCAATCTGCCAGCAGTTTGGGAAGGGAGTCATCCCCAAGGGAGGAACAGGGAATGCATGGAGGAGGCTGCTCCCTTTGCTCTCTGCAGCATGGCAACCCATTGAGAAATAAGGGAAGACAGGCAAGAATGGTGTTAAAATAGAGTCAATTAGGGCTAAGTAAGATGGTAAAGGAAGAGATGGCTGCACTCAAGCAAAATTTAGAAAAAAAAAATCTTTGGGGCCTTACTGTCAAATTTGACTGAACCTGGCAACAGAGGCACATGTGTGCCTTATCTCCACAGGGAACTGAGTTGAATACCCTGGAGTTTTGGCTGGGGAATGACATACAGACAGGACTTTTTGGGGCAGTGTGAGAAGCAGGCTCCAGGGTTGGGCAGAGGTGTGAGGAGTACCCATGGCTGTGTTGATCATGCAGAGCCCCTCAAATGGGTTAATCGGGGCTGGCTGTGAGTTAGTGCGTACCACGAATGTATATGTGTGCACATACACATCGCAGAACGAGGTTTTGGGGGGAAACTTGTCCCCCAAACCCTTAGAAGCACCGCAGATTCACTGGTTTGAGGGCTGATCTTGCCTCTCCTGTGAATAGTGAGTGAATTTTCCTCAGGGGAGAAAGGCGGGAAGCGGCAGGAAGGGTGGGCTTCCCTCCTCACCTGGCTGGCACCATATGGGGCTCAGCCCAGCCCTACACACAAGAGTGCCATAGGCCAGTGCCAGGGTACCTCCTCACCACTGAAAGCAGGTGGGCACATTTTAGCCTTGACACAGGCAGTCAAAAGTAATGCGGCCTGTCCAGCTCAGGAATCATCTCATCTGCTATACACACCAGACAGCAACACGCTGCCCAGCCACAGTACCTGTGGGATCAGGGAGGCAGGGCCAGGGCCGTTCTCCAGCACCTCACAGCGGGCACTGTGGGCAGCAGGAGGCTGAGGGGCCTTCTGGGCGCACCGGCTTCACCCCAGCCACTGAGCTGCCCTCAAACCTCCAAAATAATACCACCGATGGCTGCGTTTCCATCGGCCCAAGCACAACTTGCCCTTATAAAGCTCTTAGTGAACAGATCATTTGAGATATGCAAAATATAATGAATGGACAAGTGACCAGGAGTTGGCCAGCAACGACCACCTCTGTGTTTCATGACAGCGCTCGGTGCTCACTGGCAGTGCAGGCCAGGTTTATGGCCACCACTGAGGCTATGTGGAAAGTTACCTGACTCTGCCGGATTACTACAAACGCGTTTATGGCATATCATTTTCCACTTCTTTGTGCTTCTCCAGGAGTGTCGTGTCACTTGAGATTGGCAAGATTCATACGCTGTTCTGTATAAACAACCTCCAGTGGACTGAATTGACGTGTATGTATTGCCTTCATTGAACTGTTCAGTTCTATGACAGTTGAGGATTTAGCTTGCAAGGCCTGTAGCACGTTAAAGATGATATTTTGGTAATTTTGTTATTGGATTACCTTACAGCTCTCCAGGAGAGGGACCTGCATTCACCCATTTGCTGCCGATGCTCTCCCCGCAGGACGAGCTGGTGCTGGTGGATGAGCTGAGGTGTGCTCACGCTTGGGGGCTTACTCCAGACAGCACTCTCTGTGAAAGACAAGAATGTTAAGAGGTTAGTAATTTTTTGCTTCCCATTATCATTTTTGAGCGTCTTCCTTTAACCTTAGTTCTGTGTTGATATTTTTGGTGATGGTAACAACTGTCTTTCCTTCTTTCTCTTAAGCCTGTTGACACTAACAGTGTACCTATACTGATATACGGTCCTGTTTGGTATACAACAATATAAAGTTTAAGGAACTAGTTTTAAAAGAAAAACAAGAAAAAGAAATTTATAATTGTTATTTTGGTGCTTACCTTTCTTTTTTTTTTTTTTTTTTTTTATTAGAGTGGGAAACAAATTGCAGAACTCCTCAATTTTTTACCTCACTGCCCTATTCCCTTTGTTCTTGAAACAGCTGGCATTTCTTCCAGCTCACCAGCAACATTCTAAGAGAGAGATAACCCTGGCAGTAAATTGTTTGGGGATCGGTAGTCTGAAATTGTGAATTTTGAATTCCAGATGCATGGCAGAACCATTTTGCTTTTCTGATACAAGATTCCCCTAGAACAAAGTGAAATTACCTTCAGGTTGCTTTTATACTTTTGTGCTTCTTTCACCAATTGAGCCTATTTTTCTGCTTCCCCATTAAACCATTAAGGTAAGATGCACATTTCCCAACAGGAATGCCATAGATGTCTCACAAACATAATTTCTTGGGAACTGTTCCTGCAGTAGTTAAACATTTGTGTTTCTAGCATAAGGGTTAAGGAACTGTCCCAAACAGAAAAGGCAACACCAGGCTGCTGACTGCAAAACATCACACAAATGCACCTTCCATTTGTAACATCCCCATTCAGTGTCCTTTGCATAGTAAAAGCATTTAGCAACAAATACAGACCACAAGGACTTTATTCATGTCATTGTTTAATTTAAGAAATGCCATACATGAGCATCTAATAAACTACAGATTTTCTTGCATTTCACCAAATGTGTTTTTTGAAAGAGAATCATTGCATCTGCTAATGCAAAACAAGATGACAAATCGAGATGGAAAGACATTGTCTATGCTCTTCCTGCTCTAATAGCAGGTCTTCCTCTGTCTCCCTCTGTTTCACTGAGATGAGCTCATTTCGTATAATTTCTATGGTAATTTTTCTGTACACAAACTCTCAATTAGTACAATAAGTATGTAATTGGTTGTTGTGTTAGTTAATCATGTGGCCAAATAATCTCTCCATAAATAACACAGGAAGAATCATACATCATCAATCTAGGAAAACAAATGAAAATAAAATTTTCTACAGAAAGACTTTTAAAAAGACTTAATTCTCAAGAAAGGAGAATGAGCTCTGTACGCTTTGCTGCTGCTGAGTCTGGCCATCTCTTTCTTGCCTTTGGTGCAGGCTGGTGTTTCCACAATGATCCTTGATTCTGCTCTAGAAATGTTTGTTGGGCATTATGAAACATGAGATTCATTATTTCATTGATCAATCAGTTTTACGTTCTGTCTTTGGGAAATTGAAAGAGGTGGATTCAAAAATAACAGGGAAAGAATGAGGAAGCTCCTGCAGGCAGGGACTGGCACAGAGCTGATGGAGCCAGAAGAACAGGAAGAACAACAAAATAAGGACCAATAGGCCTTTCTCATTCATGCAGGTTATTGCTATTTGTCTTCTCAAATTCTAAAATCTTCAGAAATGACTTCTTAACCAGCTCTTGCTTCCTCCAGTTTCTCATAAATGTTTTCTGGTTGGAATTTTCAAAGTGCTCTTGAAGAATTAAGTTTCAAAAAGGTCTGGCTTCCTTTATGATTATAACATGGTGGTGTAATCTTTTTGCAAAAACGGTGATTTGTTTTTTCTCCCAAAATAAAGGGGAAGAAAAAGTAATGAACCCGAAAGAAAGAACTGAGGGTGAATGTGGGAACATAAGCATTGCACAAGGAGCATGTGTTTGCACATGTCTCTGTGAAATAGCACTTTCCTTGCAGTGCTTCAGACCACACCAACTACCAGGTGGCAGAAAACCTTGTGCTAGGCATGCACCATCAAACTGCAAAGTGACGTCCACATGAAACAAGTGTGTCTCTCTTCAGAGCTGCACCCTGTCACAGGGATCTGGATACATGTGTGGGCTTCCCTGCTCTCAGGAACCCCCAACTCTGCTATTTTATCCTTCCCCTCCAGGACTTCTGCCTACGCATGGAAATTCCCTTCCCCTCAGGCAGTGGGTAGGCCCGGGCTTCCACTCCTACCTCCTCCACCACCACGCTCAGCTGTAGCTCCCTCCACTCAGTCTCTGACTCCCACAGTCTGCAGCTGTTTCTGCAATTTTTTGCAGAAAAAAATGCAGAAATTTTTTGCAAAGATTGCAAGATTGACTTCTTGCAATCCTTTAAAAACCAGCTAGGGTCTTTCCACCTGCAGCTCCTCCTCCTCTGCTGTCATTCTGTCATGTGTATTAGATAATTCCTTTACTTTTATGTCTCGTCTGCTGGGGTTGAAGACAATTTAGGATGTCCCATTAATTTCTAAATAGCCAATCCTCAACTTTTAGCTTAGCAAGGTTCAAAAATAGCCTATCCATATTTCCAGTTCTACACAACCCCCCCAAAATTCAGCTCTGGAGTGTAAAATTATGCTATTCCAGATTATGCTGGCCTCTAGTATCTCTCGTGTAGTACAGCCCCTCTCCATCACTACTACTACCTGATGTTTAATGAAGCTCCAACACACTTGGTGCAGCAGATTAAGCCAGAGGTTTCACTGCCTCCAGCCCGTGGCCTTACTCCTTTCCAAGGCACAGACTTCTGATTATCTGGGGAACCTGGTCCTGGATTGCCACTGTGGTCAGCCCAGTACCCTAAAGGAAAATAACTCAATCCTGGGCTGGCCTTAATACAGAACTGCAGTAGTCCGAGGGCTAATTCACGGGTGGGTGAGCTGTCCTTGCTTTGAGGGCAGTGACACCCAGCAAAAGGATAGGAATGGTGACTAACAGTAGTGACCACTTTAAATGCAGTGACCCTTTCAGTATAATGTTTCTGGGACTGTGTGACCTTGTTATGAATTTCTCTTCAGAAACATGGGAAATGAGGATGGTGGACTGGAAAGTTTCCAACTTCCTTGAAACTAGTGCCTAGCTATTGTATAGAGAACTGACCAGTAACAGGTTGAAAGCATCCTCAAAATGTAACCTATTTAAACATCAAGTCACCTTTGTGTTTAAATAGCACTCCCTTTATTATAAACTGTATTCAGCTTTCAAATTATAGCATACAGAGAGGAAGACATCAGTCACATTAGGTTTGCAGGTCTGCAAATGTGTGTGTGTAAATTTATGCATGGGAATATTCCCACTGAATAGGTGTGCATGAGCTGTAGGCCTCGCAACTCATTCTCTTGGAGCTGCAGCTGTGCTAGCTACAGGCATTGTTGCCTTCCTCCAGTTGCAAGTGTCTGGGTCACCAGTACTTCAGTCTGTCCAATCTGCTAGTGCAGAATTGATTCTTAATATTTTAAACTGCTTAAGAGACAGGCTTCTACCCTTTTACTTGAAAGATATGTCCACAATTTAATAAGTAGCTCTTGTAACACATTTTTAACGTACTCTCCCTAAAGGTTTTGAAAAATGTTCTCACTTCTCTTACATTTACACAAATTCTCAGAACCGTGTTGTTGTTGTTTTCTTTTATTTCTGTAGATAATCGAGATTTCGTAGAATAATCCATCTCTGCATTGACTTATGCATGGGTAGTTATTGACTTGTTCTCTGGTTTTGGTTAAGCTTTAATGCTGCAAATACCTAATGGCATCTTACACTATATTAGCAACATGTCAAAAAGAATCGATTGTGTAATCAAGCAAATGCCTAAAAAAAGTTACTAACCAGTAATTTTCACATTTGCAGAGATTATTCAGATTCTCATCTCACTGAAGATTCTCAGTCCTACTTCTTGACTTCTCAGAATGAGATAAATGCAACTCTTTGAAATCCTGAGATGTTTGGGCCCATATACTGGTGGCTTGGTACTTGTGCCAAGCACAAACTGGTGGTCTCCACATCTGGATCGGCTGCTCTGTGCAGCTCCAGATATGAGCAGGCATTAATGTTTTACCAGTGAGATAAACCAGTGAAGTAGGGCAAAACATAAAAGAGGATGGGAAGGGGAAGAAAGTCTGACAGAGCAATACAGAAGTTACAAAATCAATATCTTATCAGAGACTCTCCAACAATAGGACAGAGGTGAACAGTCTCTTCAGAGCAGTAAATTCTGGTGAGTGGCTGGCCCTTTGCAGAGATCTGTCTGGATTCTTACCCCTGGAGTGTCAGGAGGTGAGAAAAAAGAAGGCACAACAATAAGAAAAGCCATGTAAAGGTGGAATTCATAGGGGAAAGGAATGTATATAAAGGCAGTCATATTTGAAAGAAAAGGCGAGGCAACTCGGAGTAAACTCCAGCACAGCGTTTCTAACTCTGAACGATGCATGCAAGACTAAAGCAAAACTCAGAGTTAAGTAATGTTATCCTGCAACAGATGAAGTTTCTGCTGTGTTGAACAGCTTGATTCCTGTAATCTTGGAAACAATTTCCACAGCACAGGATGACTAAAATAGGATCTCTTTCTGTAGACTAAATCTAAATCATAGTGGTTTTGTGAATGTGTGGAGCATGTACCACGTAGCTAACTTGCAGTTGTCTTGGATGAAAATATCCCCGAGAAACACAGTGGGGACTGCTTTGCTTCAGATCAAATGCAGTTTGACATGATTTCAAACTTCAGGCCAGACAGGTTATAAAAACAAAATGTACTGGAGCAGCTTAGCAGTTAGACAAGGTATTGGTGGCAAAGCTGCTTGCTGTGTTGATACCAAGTGAGACAGTAAGGTAGATGGACCTTCCAAGTACTTTAGTTCACTCAAGGCCTTTACAACTGTTTTTTACAATAACAACAACAATAATAATAATGTTTTATTAGAACATGCAGGGCAGAAATGGCAAAGTAGCTCAAGTCTCATCCTTGCAGTGATTCTCAGATGAGTCCTCT